GGAGAGAAGGAGCCCGCTCGAGATCCCCAGCACGCCAGGATTCACCAGATGACGGGGGCCCTGCTGGAGGAGGACCAGGAGGAGCAGAGCGGGGGTAACAGGAGGAAGCTGCGATTCAAAACGTTCAATGGCTCATGTTGGGCCACATGTAAAACATGCTTGCAGGTGTCAAACCAAGGGGTGATCCTCTTGCAGGAGCACAAGCTCTTCGGCAAGAAGCTCGCCGACTGCCGTGCCAGTATTTCCTAGATGGGATGGCGCTCCTACGTTGCCCCCGCCTATGTCACGAAACTCTTGCACCCCACGGGCGGCACAGCGGTTCTGATCCAAAAGCACTTGGGTTCCTGGGCCGACAATGACGGCATGGTGGCCCCTGGCAGATCATCGGGATGCTTCCTGGGAGCGGCAACTCTGGGGGTCCTCCACATTTTCTGCGTGTACCTGGAAGACCAGGTGCAACCCAATGAAACCAACCGAGGGATCCTGAATCAGGTTTGGGCCCAAGGTTCAAAGTCAGGAGCGCAATTCATCACCGGAGGAAATTTTAAAATGCCTGCTGAGAAGATTGAGACCTACCGGCCGCTTGCAAAGTTTGCGGCAGTGATGCGCGTCCCAGAGGAGCCCGCGCTCTTACAGGGAGGCAACAAGTCAACCATGGACTAGTTCATCCCCAGTCGGGCACTCGACGCAGCGGACCCTGTCTTGGGATTAGACAAGTCTCGGCACAAGAGGCCGCGCATTCCTGTCGTTCTGGATTTCCCGAAATCCATAGAGGACGTCTTCGTACGTGTCATGGCACCATATATGAAAGTAGACCCTCTACCAGCAATGGGACCTCCAGTTGCACCCCCAAGCTATGAGGACCTCATAGACAAGCTCCAAACAGTAACCAAATAACGATCACTTTATGGGAACACATATTGCATGGCAGCAACATCAGAACAGGGCCCCGTGCAACAGCTACTAGATGAAGCTTATCAATCTCGGGCTGAACGAGCCTGGCAAGAAGTTCTAGATGTCGTGCAAGATACTCTTAAAGGTCGTAGAGACGGTCGCCCTCCAGAATTTCGAGAAGTACCTTTATCTTCGGTCCTGGCCACAGAGAAGTACCAGAAAGTACGGGCCCTGCAATGGGCCAGTAATCGGCTACGAGAGATCGACTCCCTCCTGGCCAAGAATGCGAAATTCACTCTGGACCAATGCACCGCCAATCTTTTACGAGCTTTGGGAACTTCCACAAAGAGGTGGACCGTTTAGGCAGTGCTGGAAGGATGGGGGATCCTTCCGGCACTGCCACCTGTCAGGCCTAGCAGCTGCTATGTTGGTAAAGGAGCCGCCACCAGCGAGACTCGCAGCGGTGGCACCTGCTCTCCGACGTTCTGCAGCGCGCTAAATTGGGTCAACTGCAGGAGAGGAGGAGACGGATAACATAATGGGAACAATGGCGCAAGGAGGCGGGGGGGGATCATGCGCAGCAGGTCTTTTCTTACCTCGGAGGGACGGACTACAGACGAGAGGATGTAGTTCCAAGTCCAGAGGGCCGCTCGTCGTCGCTGCCGAATCACTCGCGCAGGGAATCTCAACGCTGGTCGACCGCCTGGGAAGCTGCACAGAGCCCAGCATGCCCGCCTCCCCGCACAGATCTTGCGCCCGTTCCCGTGCCAATGCCCGCAGAGCCAGATGCGATCAAACGTATCGCGAGGAAGTTCGAGCTGAAGATTTGCGCCCCCGATGGCATGCACCCGAGACGCTACGCGGTGATCTCGCAGGATGCCCCACGAGCGCTATCACTCATCTTTCACATCATGGATGTCTTGGAAGCAGCGCCGACGACGATTCAAACCATCATTGTCTTGCTTGCCCAAAAGCCCCAAGGAGGACGACGGCCCCTCGGACATTACCCAGCGATGCCAAGACTTCATGCCAAATTTCATGGAGCTCCTTGCAGAGCGTGGGAAAGAGAGCTTGGTTTGGGCCCATCCTACAGCATGTCCCACTCAAGAAGCCCACAAGACATCGTTTGGCGAGGAGCAGTCAGGAGTGAATGGTGTACTTCCCAGGGAATATCATACCAATGTGTTTTATGGAATCTTGTCCAGCTTTAGGAGAAAATCTGCCATGCCAGACTCATTGAACAGGCAGAACTTGTGGGGTCCCTCTCTGTGTCCTCCTGTGCACCATTGGCTCGTGCAGATGGGGCCGTATTCTTTTGCTCGATGGAGCCTTCGGCCAGATGATTTACCCGACATCAGGGATCATCGCAGGCTCCACTTCTGCGACATTCGAGGCCAAGGTCTACCTGATGCCCACGATCCAGAGCTGGACATGAACCGGATGCCTCTGCACTGGGGGTGCACGTCGACGACCTGCAGCTCCACTCATTGGCTGAGTCAGCGACAGTATGCGTCGAGACGATGGTGGCCCCCACCCAGTCGCTCGCCAAGGTTCCACAGGGGTACCGGCCAAGAAAATGAATGTAACAGGCAACTCCAACCAGCTGATCAGAGATGCGAAGCAGGCTTTGGGACCCCTGGCAGGAGCTGTCGAACAAGCCCCAGCAAGTCTCGGAGTGGACTTCTTGGGCGAACGCACGCATGCGCAAGTTCGAGTCCTGCGAAAACGTCCGAGTAGGTGGGGGAAATTTAAACGTCGGTTTCGCAAGCCTTCTCGGCTCCGAGGAGACAAACGCCTGACAAAGGGGGTGCGCATGGTGCGCAAGTCCAATGATTTTCGCCCAGGGAAGTTTGAACCCTTCGTAAGTCCGTAGCAGCAGCCATGGGGGTGAAACAAACAGGGCGCCCAACGCAGATAGCCTGGGTGGCGCTGTACCAACCACCGAGCAGAAGGAGGCTCCGCCCATGCAGATGCCATTCCCTTAAGTAGACTTTCTGCAGCGTTCAGAGAAGCCCAAGACTTGGTGGAGTCGACTATCGGTGAACCGTGAGCTTCTCGGAACAGGGGGCCATTGTCTGATGCAATCCAGTGGCTGAAAATAGTAGGTTGGACGATCGAGTCTCCAGCAGTTCTCGTAACCGAGGCTGGAGCGAAGCTCGTCCTAACTGATGTGCCACCAGCCAGGGTGGTGCACATTTTTGCACGGGAATTTTCAGCCACCGAACTCTCAGAGACATGTTCATGCGAAGCTAAGCAGCATGACGCACCCTGTGGCCAACCAGATCAGATCAGAAAGGATGCGGCTGCATGCTGCAAGAAAGACCTTCAACTCCAAAGATAAGGAAGGAGTGAGGCACACGTTTGAACATATTGTTTCGGCTTCAGCCCCAACAGGGACCAACCTCCGCAAATGGGGCCACGAAGCCCTCGAGGTGTGTGTGTGTGTGTGTGCGTGTGTGTGTGTGTGTGTGTGCGTGTGCGTCCCGCGGCCAACTCGGCACTGCGTTCCGCAGAATCCGGGAGCGCCCATGTGAACAAGAAATGCGGTCCCAAGTTTTTGGCCCGACGCTAGTTCCAGATGCCTTGGAAGCAGGGCCTGAACACCCGTTGTATAGCCACCTGTGGCAACCTCTTCCTGAATTAGACCAAGTTTGTGAAGACTGGGACATCGGATTTGTGGGCCCTGACAGGCTGCCAACTGAACCTTTTAACTCCCCTGCAGGTGCGATGATATATATATATATATATATAGATATATAGATATACACACATATACAGATGGAGGGTGCGATTACTCCACCAACCCTGAACTAGCTAGAGAAGGTGTAGCGGCAGTCCAGATAGACGATCAGGGACAGCTACTCAGAGGCATGCGTTCACCGCTCCCGCGCGATTTCCTGCAGACAAGTGGAGATGCAGAGCATGCAGCAGAGCCTTTAGCAATTCTTAGGTCCCACGACCCGCCGTCCATTATAATGCGCCGCGATTGCAGCGCGCTCGGCTTGATAACATCTTGGCCCGAGAAAGCGCTCTCAGGGAGGAACCCTCGAGCGCAATACTGGCGACCAGCAGGACACAAGCTAGGTCAAGAAGACTGGCTTGTGATGTGCAAAGTTAGAGCACACCGGGATTAAACTTCTGCAGAGGGTGACCAAGACCGAGTCAACATCCAAGGGAACGCCCTCGCAGACCACTTCGCTAGACTTGCCTCGAGAGCCCAGAGGGTCGCCCAAGGAACGGTTGAGGTCTACCAGCAAACTTTGTCAGAGTATACTAACCTGTCAGTAGGTGCGGCGAAGATCCTTAGTGTATGGCCACCGCCTGAGGATCTCCTCGGCAAGCTGACCCGCGTTCGGTGTCCCAAAGCTGCTAAGCCAAGTCCCAGTCCGCACAAGCCTGTCTTGGACGGTGCTGCATGCAGATGCTCGAGATGCCTCCGTGTGTGCTCACCATCGAGTACACCCGAGAGTCTTTCCCTGCCCCCATCTGTACAGGTTCTTGTTGACACAGGAGGGGGCCAGGGACATATCTTGCTAGGAGCACGGATTGAAGGCAGTGAACTCTCAATCATCTACAGTCACGAGTGCGGATGTTTTGCAACCCGCAGAGCGACGGGGCTTCTACAACAGCGCTTGCGACCAAGGAGGTCCAGTGAGCGCTCGAAGCTCCGAAGAGGCCGCGTCCCAGGGACAGATCACAGGTTCGAGAACCCGTTCCCTCTTCTCCTTCTCCTTGCCTCGGCCTCCCCCTCTACCGACCCGTTTGCGGGCTCGACCGCGCGATGCTGGACCCAGGCGCGCCCCGCTGCTCTCTTGGGAAGGGTGGGATCAGGAGGGAGGATCCAGCTCAGACCAGCAACGGCAGCAGCGAGGGCAGCGCCATTTCATTTTTCATCATCCCGGGGCAACCCCCAATCAGGCTGTCTGTGCGTTAGTGTTGCTCAGGCAGTGCTGCATGACAGACGGGTGTTAGTCTTGCGAGGAGGAGGAGGAGGAGGAGGAGGAGGAGGAGGAGGAGGAGGAGGAGGAGGAGGAGGAGGAGGAGGTCTGGGGGGGGGGGGCGGCGCGGCCGCGCCCCCGCGGCCCGACAGCCCGCGGCGAGGGGAGGCGCGCCCCCGGGCGCCTGGGGGCTGCGCGCGCGCTGCCGCTCGGCGCTGGCAGGCGGCGCCCGTCGCGGGGGGTGTGCACGTCGTTCTGAGTAGGGTCTATTGATCCAGAAATTGCAAATTCACTGTTGATCTCGGCCTGCTTCAGATGTGTTTTCGTCGCCACATTCCATTTCTTTCTTCATGACCATGTTGTTCATGATAAATGTCAGCTTGTCAGAATCAGACATCTGGGCTGGCTCCCCCTCTCGGCGGCGAAATCCAAAGCCTGCCCTCGCCGATCAACGATGCGGGCGAGTCGATGGGCGGCGGGCGCAGGGTTTGGACTTCGTCGTGCGCGTGGCCAGGTCTGAACCCCTCCGCCTGCCCCCGGTCGATGCGAGACAGTGCGGATGTCGCCACCTGCCCTCGCGTCGGGGGCCCACAAAGGGTGTCGTGACCACGCCGCGCGGTGAGTCAGCGGGGATCCCCTGGGTTCCCCAAGTAGGGTCGGAGAGGATGGGGACGGATCGCGGCGCATCGCCGATTCATCGGCGGTGCGGCTCGATGTGGAACGCGGTGTCCTTCGCGCCGACGGCGCCGATACATCGGCGACGTCCCCGCTGCATTGGCGACGCTGCGCGATCTTCCGGCCCCATCGATCCGAACCCCGCGGAAGCCTCTGGATTTGGGGTCACCGCGCGGTTTTGGGCCTCGGGCCGCGTTCCGAGCACATCTCGGGCGATTGGGGGGCCTCCGAGGTCCAACAAATGCATGCGGCGACGGACCGAGCGGAGAGGTCGTTTGGGGGTTCCGAGGTCACCGCGCGGTCCCTCTCTTGTCGGGGGTGGACAGACCTCCTACCCTGACGCGTCAATTCGCGAATTGGCCGTTTTGGGTTCGCGAGAGGGCGTCGCGGCCGTCACCTGTTGCGGGTCCAGGTCCGTCGGTTTCGGTCCCAGGCCGCTTTCACCAAAGGGAGGCTTTTTAAAGGGAGGCTTGTCCACCGCCGCTGTTTGGGATCCCCCCTTCGTCGCAGGGCGACGAGATCCGTCCAGACGCGCTCGCGTCGTAGAAAGCAGAAACATAGGAGGAGGAGGAGGAGGAGGAGGAGGAGGAGGAGGAGGAGGAGGAGGAGGAGGAGGAGGAGGAGGAGGAGGAGGAGGAGGAGGAGCGACGAGATCTACCCAGACGTGCTCGCGTCGTCGAAAGCAGAAGAGGGCTGTGACTGCGTCTGTGCCCTTTTCGGGCTGCGGGGGCCCTCTCGCCGGGCCCCTGGGCCGTCCAGCTGAATTGCTCGGGGCGAAAACGGCCGGCCCCCTGGGGGAAGGAGCGGAACTCCTCGGGGGGGCCGCATGCAAAAAAAAGGAAGAAACACCTGCGTCGCGTGTTTGGGTGCCCAGATATCCGAGGATGTGGTTTTCATATATATATATATATATATATATATATATATATATATATATATATGTGTGTGTGTGTGTGTGTGTGTGTCTGTGTGTGTGTGTGTGTCTGTGTGTGTGCGTGTTTGCTGCCTCGACCTGGGCTTCCGGGGCCCGTCACCAGGCCCGGGGCCCGTCAAGAATGGATCGGGGGCAGGAGGCTGGCCCTGGGGAAGGGGTCGGGACCTCGCTCCGGGGTCGGCAGGGTACATATCCACCGCCCCTGGCCAGCCCATGCTGGGCCAGCAGCAGTGTATATATGTACATACATACATATACATACATATACATACATACGCCCCCCTGGCTTGGCCAGGGAAGCATGTGCACTGCTCCTGGGCCCAGGATGGGTCAGGATGGGCCTGGCAATATGCATAGATCTCGTCGCCGTACCCTTCCCGCCCCCTCCTTCCTGCAACTCCTCCCAGGGTCAAGCTTGATCTGGTCCGATTCGATGTGGACATCGGCTGGCTCGATCAGGTTCGATTCCAGTACTCCGACGACTTGGTGTGGCCCGATGCTTGCGTGGTGGCGTTGTTGAGCATCCTGGCGCGGCCGATCCGATTCGATTTCGACTCTGAGCCGATGCAGCCCGATCCGACGCACATTCTGATTGGCCCCGATGTCCCGATTTGTTGCTGACTGAGTCGAATAATCTCTCTGCATCTCCTCCCCAAAACATCCAACGTCCTCCCCGTCCCCTTCTCCTGGCAACGTATGCCTAGTGGAGGCCTGGTATTGAGGCGACGCAGACAGGAATAAGGAGCTCCGAAGACCTACAGGCGATCCTCGCAGTGTCGATGCTGATCAATTCCACGAGGGCGGTGGCCGCGTCTTGCCAGCAATTAAGGACGCGCATACGATGGAGTCTGAGCTCGTGGCCAGGCATGAACGCCAAGGCACCCTGCGGCGCCCGATGAAAGTGGCCGCCCTGCCGTCGTCAGCGCGGGTCTGAGGTCTCGCGAACGAAGCGGCAGGTCCGCATCGTCCTCCCACCTCTTCCCCCCTCCCAAGCCATCCATGGGACTCCTGGCAAGTGGTCGTAGAACAGCCCCGAGCTGGGACCGAGAAGCCGCCGAGAGCACCGCCAGGCGACGGCCACGCGGCCCACGCCGCCGCGGAACAGACGAGGAGTGGCTGGGCCGCGGCCCCGCCGCCGACCTCCCGAGGAGGCGCTCCAAAGGCTCGCGCGTACGAGGAGCGGCGCCGGCGCAGGCACTGTCCTCTCCTCTTCCTCTGCCCAGGAAGTGGGGGAACATTAAGACGAGGAGGATGAGCAAGAGGAGGAGGAGGAGGAGGAGGAGGAGGAGGAGGAGGAGGAGGAGGAGGAGGAGGAGGAGGAGGGGCGAGGTGCAGTCAAGGCGCTGAAACCCGGGCCATTTTGGGATTCGGGGTGGGCTTCGGTTTTCGTGCCACGTCGTAGATTTGGGCCCGTCCAGTCAAGAAACCATTGGCGCGTGGGCGGAACGGAACAACGCGCTGCTGCCCTGTACGGCGCAGAGCGCAGCACGACTGTGAAGCAGAGGCGGCACGAGCCACGGGGCGTCACGGCGTCGCGGGGCGCCGCGGGGCTGCAGCATCGCTGTCACGGCGTCACGCGGTGTCACGGCGGCACGTGGCGTCACGTGGCGTCACGGGGCGCCACGGCGTCGCTCGTCTGCCTCAGCGCACTTGGTAACGAAGCGGCGCTGTTGTGGCTTGTCTGCGGCGCATACGGGGCGTTCCGCCGTGGTTCGCCGCGGCCCTGAGAGATCCGTCGTTCCTTCTTCGGCGGTCCTTCTGGCGTGACACGCTGACGGTCCGACGAAGAAGGTGGACCTGTATAGACGCTCGGCTCCGATGCGTGACCTGCACAGCCATGTGGGCGTTTACCCCCAAACCCAAGAATTGGCGTTACAGCCTGCCCTCCAGGATGCCCAAAACCAAAGAACTGGTGTTGACTGAACGGGCTTGGTCGTTTACTGAACTGTCCTGCCCTGTTCGATTCCTTCCAGAGTTGCGCTTGCTGAAAGGCTTCGCTTGTAGGGATGTTCATGATGATGGTTGTTAATTTTTCCCTCGAAGCGAATGGGGTGCATCGATGCGGGGGTGTTGCCGTCCTCTGAGCTTCGCTCTTGACGCAGTGCGAGCCGCGAAGTTGCGTGACCTACACTGCCAGATGGACCCCGAGGCCAATTCCCAAGCCTTTCTAAGGATGTGTCCGGCCCAAGGTGCCCCCAGGATTTCCAGGGAGGCCCCCACAGCTTCCGGAGCACACCTCATGAGGCCTCTCAGATACCGCTGCAACACAACGAGGGATACTAATTGAATCGTCGAGCTTTGAGCTTCCTGAGGTGCCCCAGGGCTTGCGTGGGACCAGGCGGCCCCTGGGCCGGGTGTTGCTAGAAGTGCCCCTGGCCCAAGGTGCCCCCAGCTTTTCGCTCAATTTGGGAGCCCCTGGGGCCCTCTGGGCCTCGTGAGGGGTGCTCTGGAGGCCGTGGGGGGCCTCCTTGGAAATCCTGGGGGCACCTTTGAAGCCAGGGGCACTTCTGGCACCACCCGACTGGGGGGCTCCAGAGCGGAGCGAGGAAGTCTTGGGACACCTTCGGCAAAAGGGGCACTCCCAGCGCAGCTCCCGAGAACAGGGAGGCGGAGGCCTCGTGATTGGGCAGCCAGCCGGCCAGCGGCCTCGGCTCTTGCCTTGCGTGCGCCCCGCCAGGCGCGGGCGAGTCACGCCACGGCCTGGCGGAGCTCCTGATGGTCTGCCGCTCGCGGCTGCCGGCGGAAGTGCCCTCGGGGCTCTCCCCAGTCGTCGAGCATCGCCTGAGCGATCCCCATCCCACTGGCATGACCTTGGGCCAAGTGGTCGGTTTTCTTTCTCTCTCTCTCTCTCTATATATATATATAAACAAGCATATAGATACACAGGCA